ACGGGTGAGGGAGAGAGGAGAGAGGAGAGGGCACGGGTGAGGGAGAGAGGAGAGGGCACGGGTGAGGGAGAGAGGAGAGAGGAGAGGAGGGGAATTGGGCCATTGCGCTACATTGACGTTGCCGAAGTATCGCACATGGAAAAAAAGAAAAAAGAAAAAAGAAAAAAGAAAGGGTATCGCATATGTGCGGAGGTGGGGAACAGTGGCAGGGACGAGAAGATGCTGCGACAGCATTGCGACGCTCGCCACGGAACTCGTCTCTTTTTTTTTCTTTTTTCTTTTTTCGTCTCTTTTTCTTATAAAGCCAATGGACTGGAGGGTGTTGTAGAGGCCAAGGACCAGACCCGCGGTGATTGCGGGCAGCGGCAGGCAATCGTTGTCCTGAGGGAACTCGTTTCCTAACAGAAACATGTGAACAAACGAACAGACCCGAAATAGACGCTAATGCGGTTTGTCCGAAATACCACCCTACCACGCGCGGAGCCCTACTGGGCAAGGTCCCACTTCCGCAAATTAGGATATTTCGGCCGTTGATCTTCGTTATCTACGGTCACTATCCACGGTAGTAGGCCTAAAGGGAGAAAAGGACAAAAAAGTCCCGGGGGGGTTGTAAGGCGTCCTCCATTTTTTTTTTTCCCTGTGATTTTTTTTCCTGTGATTTTTTTTTTTCAGTGAAAATTTGTTTTCAGTGAATTTTGAGAAGCCTGCTCTTTTTTCAGGAGGCGATGTGTTGGCGGGAAGACGGCAGGATCAGCGCCGCACAAAACTTCAACGATGCATGTTCGATTCTGCCGCCTTTTTTTTTTTTTTTTTTTTTTTTTTTGGGAAAATTCTACCGCCTTTGGGCCTCGCCACACCACTCTCGAAATGTGAAAAAGACAAAAATGTGGCGGATGCATCCAGCGGGAAGTTCATTCTCATTTTGCACAGTTCAAGACAAGAGTGGTTTGGCGATGGCGATGCCCTCATAGGGCTTCGCCACACCACACTTGACTTGAAATGTGAAAAAGACAGAAATGTGGGGCATGCATCTGGCGAGCTTGGAGGAGGAAGTTCATCTTCATTTTGCACATTTCGAGACTGGTGTGGCGATGCCCGTAGAGGTTCAACGATTTACGGCGGGCGTCGTCTCACTACACAACACTTCACATGCATTCGGAGCATTTAACGACTAGGTGCATTTGAAAAGTACATTTCGAGTCCGTCGGGGGTCCAGAAAGCGTCCAAATCTTTCAAAGAAAAAAGAAAAAAAGATAAACCGAAAGCGTCCAAGTGCCTGAAAGGCCGTCCTGTCCAGATTCGACAGGTAATTGTTTCTTTTGTTTTTTTTTTTGTTTTCCTACAGGTAATTGAATTGGTTGGGCTTTGGGAGATCGCCACAGCACTCTCGAAACGTGCAAAATGAGAATTATGAACGTCTCGCTAGAACATGGCCAGATGCGCCCGCCACATGTTTGTCTTTTTTTTCTTTTTTTTTTTTCATGTTTGTCTTTCTCACGTTTCGACAGTGGTGTGGCAAAGAGAGGCCGATAGGTCCTCGCCGGACCAGTAGCCAAATGTGGAAAAGACAAAAACTAAATAATGGCGAGTGTATCTATCCGCTAGCTTGGCCTAATACCGAGGGCCATCGCCACATTTGTAGAGGGGTGTGGTGAGTGATTGATGCCTTTGTAGGCACCCTACTTACAGACCATTGGACTCGTTGCACTCGTCGCCCATTGGATGAAATGGGGGGTGTATCTTCCCCTAGATGGTGGAAAGATACATGCCCTTTTTTTTTTTTTTTTTTTTTTTTTTTTTTTTTTTTTTTTGGAAAACAAGTCTTATCATATTCCAAAACCACATTTACCACGAGGCCAGGGACCTCACAATTCAACCCGGAGTTATCCCGGAAGCATCAGCCGGTTTAGCTTCAATGCACATCAATGAACATCAGGTATGAATAGTTCTAGTCTAAGTCAAAGAAAACCTTATGTTGTACCTACTATGCAATAGTGGATGTGGGTTTGCAGGTGTAACCAGGGAGTTGATGCATAGAATGGGTAAGTGGGCTTAGTGTGAGGAGGGGATGGGAAAAGATGAAATTGGGTGACGTACAGACTAACGCAGGGATTAGTCGTATGCCATGTTTTTGTCTTTCTCATCCTTGGCGAGTGGTGGAGGGAGGCCCCATTCCAGGACCCTCTTGACCAAAGGCTGGGGGTAGCCGTTATACGCCTTTTTTTTCTTCTTTTTTTTTGCCTCTTGCCTCTTTTTTTCTTTGAAGAGGGGCCTTGAGGTACCACCATGAGGAAGCGGCCTACCTATCTCAGTTGGCTAGGCATGCAAGTGGCAGTCAGCAGCTTGTGGGTTCAATTCCCACGCCCCGGCATCGGGTGAGATGGGTTGGCACCAACTGCGGTAGTTGGTCCGGTCCCAACCCTGGTTGGTACTCACAGGGTCTTTAGCCATGATGTGTGTGTGTCTGTGGGGGGGGGGGGGGGGGGAGAGTGTGTGTGTGTGTGTGTGACACTGTGTGTGATGATGTGTGTGTCCGTGTGTGCGTGCGTGAGAGAGAGAGAGAGAGTGTGTGTGGGGGTGAGAGAGAGGGGGGGGGTGTTGCCATGTTCGCCATATGCAATGCCACAAAAAAAGCACGTCATTCCAAGGGTGGAATTGACTGATGGATAAGTACTCACCCCATCACCCAGAGGTAGCTAGTGATACGCTTTTTATATTGAGACATGGACGGCTTTACTCACGCCAACCCTGCAATCCTAGCCGACTGTCATTCCAAACCCCTGACAAAACTGTCATGGGCCTAAAACCCACACTCTGCACACCCACTCAGCCATGGATACCCAATGGCATGAAAGTTAGTATGGGGCCAACCCTCGCCGCATCACGTGTGTGTGTGTGTGTGTGTGTGTGTGTGTGTGTGTGTGTGTGTGTGTGTGTGTGTGTCCAGGATCTGTCTCTTATACACATCTAGATGTGTATAAGAGACAGGTGTGTGTGTGTCCAGGATGTACTCACCCACAAGACACGGCTACGCAGACAAGGCAGTCCACACAGAGCCACCTACGACCCTTCTTTTTTTTTTTTTTTTTTTTTTTTTTTGAAAAACMCCCGCCAGACCCAAGAGGCCAGCTCAGTGGGTACACCTATGAACTGTTCAAAACACAGACCCGTGTTTGAATCCAGATGATGGAACCCCTTGATGAGTAAAGTTGTAAAACCGACTATTTCACTGAATTGGCTGGGGCCGGTCAGCTTAATGATGATATCTCAAGGCTGTCGCCCTGTTTTTTTTTTTTTTTTTTTTAAACCCCCGCCAGTGTTAGTGGTGTTGATAAGCACAGACACCACTAGCACTTGGGGAAAGGCACCATCTATTGACCAAGACCTATTCACAGCACAAGAAAATCCCCGTAGACTGTTGGTTCCCACAACCTGCTGAGCCAGGAAGCCACTCCTATGGACATCTACCATCACCCACAGACCATATACACCACAGACATCGCAAACAGTGTGGCTCCCCTAATATTCCTGCAGGCTTTCCGAGTCATCAACCACCGACTATTTAGCACGTCTTGAAGGTGCTCACCTAGACGCACATGCTTGGCAGGGTAGGACTGGGTACTTCAGATATTAGTCTCCCGCTGCCCGTTGGCGGTTTATGATTCCTGGTGGTGAACTCTCCTTGTGTAATGTTTGTTCTTTATGCTTGCCGGGGATAGGCAACGGGACTGGCCATCCCCCACGAATTTAAAGGGTTTTTGTGTCAAGGAAAAAAAGGAACAGAAAACTATGGGGCAGTCAGGGTTTGGGTTTGAAAATGCATTTAAGGCAAAAGGGCCCGTAATGGGGAATGTGTGTAACCTAGGTTTCGGGTCCGGTGGGGTCACGTGGGGTTGTGTTGTGTTCGCGGGATTGCCTGAAGTGCATTTTCAAACTGTTTTCGTGACTGCGCTGAAGTTACCCCCCCCAAAAAAAGAAGGATCGTGTGCGCGCGCGCGCGCGCGCGTGTGTGTGTGTGTGTGTGTGTGTGTGTGTGTGTGTGTGTGTGTGTGTGTGTGTGTGTGTGTGTGTGTGTGTGTGTGTGTGTGTGCGCGTGCATATGTGTGTCCAATATATCCCATGGCGTACTCGCCATGCACCCCATGGAACCCATGGTACACCCAGCCCGGCCGTAACCAAACGAATGTTGTATGCTGCCACTCTACTACCACAGTAACTCATGAAGCTACCTTGTACATACGTGGTTATCCATAACCAACCTTCCAACGTGCCAGACATCTAGGCGAGAGGGGATGGGGGAGGCGAGAG